GAATGTTCCTTATGAGGTGCTGACCATGTGTTGTTACTTTGTAGCCGATCCATCATCCAAGATGGCCGCCATCGGGGAACTTAGTTTAACATAGGACCCTATGGGAATTACATACAAATGTCTTCTTTTAGAGAACCACTGAATGGAATGAAACCAAACATGGCATGAATGTTCCTTATGAGGTGCTGACCAAGTGTTGTTACTTTGTAGCCGATCCATCATCCAAGATGGCCGCCAGCGGGGGACTTAGTTTAACATAGGACCCTATGGGAAATACATACAAATGTCTTCTTTTAGAGAACCACTGAATGGAATGAAACCAAACATGGCATGAATGTTCCTTATGAGGTGCTGACCAAGTGTTGTTACTTTGCAGTCGGTCCATCATCCAAGATGGCCGACAGCGGGGGACTTAGTTTAACATAGGACCTATGGGAAATACATACAAAATGTCTTCTTTTAGAGAACCACTGAATGGAATGAAACCAAACATGGCATGAATGTTCCTTATGAGATGCTGACCAAGTGTTGTTACTTTGTAGCCGATCCATCATCCAAGATGGCTGCCAGCGGGGGACTTAGTTTAACATAGGACCCTATGGGAAATACATAAAAATGTCTTCTTTTAGAGAACCAATAAATGGAATGGAACCAAACATGGCATGAATGTTCCTTATGAGATGTTGACCAAGTGTTGTAACTTTGCAGTCGGTCTATCATCCAAGATGGCCGCCAGCGGGGGACTTAGTTTAACATAGGACCCTATGGGAAATACATACAAATGTCTTCTTTTAGAGAACCACTGAATGGAATGAAACAAAACATGGCATGAATGTTCCTTATAAGGTGCTGACCAAGTGTTGTAACTTTGCAGTCGGTCCATCATCCAGGATGGCCGACAGCGGGGGACTTAGTTTAACATTAGACCCTATGAGAAATACATACAAATGTCTTCTCTTAGAGAACCAGTGAATGGAATGAAACCAAACATGGCATGAATGTTCCTTATAAAGTGCTGACCAAGTGTTGTTACGTTGCAGCCGATCCATCATCCAAGATGGCTGCCAGTGGGTGACTTAGTTTAACATAGGACCCTACGGGAAATACATACAAAATGTCTTCTTTTAGAGAACCTATGAATGGAATGGAACCAAACATGGCATGAATGTTCCTTATGAGGTGTTGACCAAGTGTTGTTTCTTTGCAGCCGATCCATCATCCAAGATGGCCGCCAGCGGGGGACTTAGTTTAACATAGGACGCTATGGGAAATACATACAAAATGTCTTCTTTTAGAGAACCACTGAATGGAATGAAACCAAACATGGCATGAATGTTCCTAATGAGGTGCTGACCAAGTGTTGTTACTTTGCAGTCGGTCCATCATCCAAGATGGCCGACAGCGGGGGACTTAGTTTAACATAGGACCCTATGGGAAATACATACAATTGTCTTCTTTTAGAGAACCACTAAATGGAATGGAACCAAACATGGCATGAATGTTCCTTATGAAGTGCTGACCAAGTGTTGCTACTTTGTTGCCGATTTACTGTTCAAGATGGCCACCAGGATATTTTATTTAATAACGGGACCAATATTAATCCAAATTTGGCCTCAATCATTATTTGGGTATCTGTTATGATTTTTATCTATCTTTACATGATTTCTTAAACCAAAGTAGAGTCAGGTGAGCGACACAGGCTCTTGAGAGCCTCTAGTTTATTCAACTAGCCCTATGGGCTAGTGATTTGAAAAGTTATTGGCACAGACTGGTTCAAGTGTATGGATCTCTCTGAAATTGTACTGCAAGGTACCATACCACAAAGAGAAGGCTGGGATTGATTTTTGGGGGTAATTTCCTCTAAATTTTAGAAATTAGGGGCAAAAAAACAAGCATTTTTCTAGTTTCAGGACAATAACTTGTGTGTAAGTGTATGGATCTTTATGAAATTGTACTACAAGGTTCCATATCTCAAAGGAAAAGCTGGGTTTGAGTTTGGGGGTAATTGCCCTAAACGTTTAGGAATTTGGGGCCAAAAAACAAGTATTTTTCTAGTTTCCAGACAATGACTTGTGTTCAAGTGTATGGATCTCTCTGAAATTGTACTGCAAGGTACCATACCACAAAGGGAAGGCTGGGATTGAGTTTGGGGGTGATGAATCATAAGGGGGTTCCCTTTTTTAGCTCACCTGACCTGAAAGGTCAAGTGAGCTTTTCTCATCACTTTGCGTCCGTCGTCCGTAAACTTTTACAAAAATCTTCTCCTCTGAAACTACTGGGCCAAATTTGACCAAACTTGGCCACAATCATCATTGGGGTATCTAGTTATAAAAATGTGTCCGGTGACCCGGCCAACCAACCAAGATGGCCGCCATGGCTAAAAATAGAACATAGGGGTAAAATGTAGAATTTGGCTTATATCTCTGAAACCAAAGCATTTAGAGCAAATCTGACATGGGGTAAAATTGTTTATTAGGTCAAGATCTATCTGCCCTGAAATTTCCAGATGAATCTGACAACCTGTTGTTGGGTTGCTGCCCCTGAATTGGTAATTTTAAGGAAATTTTGCCGTTTTTGGTTATTATCTTGAATATTATTATAGATAGAGATAAACTGTAAACAGCAATAATGTTCAGCAAAGTAAGATCTACAAATAAGTCAACTTGACCAAAATGGTCAGTTGACCCCTTAAGGAGTTATTGCCCTTTATAGTCAGTTTTTAACCATTTTTCGTAAATTTTTGTAATCCTTTACAAAAATCTTCTCCTCTGAAACTACTTAGACAAATTTAACCAAACTTGTCCCCAATCGTCATTAGGGTATCTAGTTTAAAAAATGTGTCCGATGACCCTGCCTGCGAACCAAGATGGCCGACATGGCTAAAAAATAATACATAGGGTAAAATGCAGTTTTTGGCTCATATCTCTGAAACCAAAGCATTTAGAGCAAATCTGACATGGGGTAAAATTGTTTATCAGGTCATGATCTATCTGCCCTGAAATTTTCAGATGAATCTGACAACACGTTGTTGGGTTGCTGCCCCTGAATTGGTAATTTTAAGAAAATTTTGCCGTTTTTGGTTATTATCTTGAATATTATTATAGATAGAGATAAACTGTAAACAGCAATAATGTACAGCAAAGTTAGATCTACAAATAAGTCAACATGACCAAAATTGTCAATTGACCCCTTAAGGAGTTATTGCCCTTTATAGTCAATTTTTGTCGAGCCTTCGACTTTTGTCGAAAAAGCGAGACATAGCGATCCTACATTCCGTCGGCGTCGTCGTCATCGGCGGCGTCCACAAATATTCACTCTGTGGTTAAAGTTTTTGAAATTTTAATAACTTTCGTAAACTATCCTGGATTTCTACCAAACTTGGACAGAAGCTTGTTTATGTTCATAATATTATATTCAAAAGTAAATTTTGTAAAAAAAAAATTCCATTTTTTCCGTATTTTACTTATAAATAGACTTAGTTTTTCAGCCAGGAAACATTACTTTCACTCTGTGGTTAAAGTTTTTGAAATTTTAATAACTTTCTTAAACTATCCTGGATTTCTACCAAACTTGGAAAGAAGCTTGTTTATGATCATAAGATAGTATCCAGAAGTAAATTTTGTAAAAAAAAAATTCCATTTTTTCCGTATTTTACTTATAAATGGACTTAGTTTTTCTGCCAGTTAACATTACATTCACTCTGTGGTTAAAGTTTTTAAAATTTTAATAACTTTCTTAAACTATCCTGGATTTCTACCAAACTTGGAAAGAAGCTTGTTTATGATCATAAAATAGTATCCAGAAGTAAATTTTGTAAAAAAAAAAATTCCATTTTTTCCGTATTTTACTTATAAATGGACTTAGTTTTTCTGCCAGTTAACATTACATTCACTCTGTGGTTAAAGTTTTTAAAATTTTAACAACTTTCTTAAACTATCCTGGATTTGTACCACACTTGGACAGAAGCTTGTTTATGATCAAAAGCTAGTATCTAGAAGGAAATTTTGATAAAATTTTGTTCCATTTTTTCCGTATTTTACTTATAAATGGACTTAGTTTTTCTTCCAGTCAACATTACATACAGTCTGCAGTTTAAGTATTTAAAACATTTATTAGATTCATAAATTATCCTGGATTTTTACCAAACTTGGACAGAAGCTACTTACAATCAAAAGATAGTATAGAGAGGAATATTCTTATTTATTTTTTTCCACATTTTTGTTGAGCCTGCGATTAACAGTAAAAGTAGGCGAGACACTGGGTTCCGCGGAACCCTTACGAATTTTTTACAATTTTCATAAATTTTGTAAATTTTTGTAAATTTTTACAATATATTTTCCACTGTAACTACCGGGCCAAGTTCATTATAGATAGAGATAATAGTAAGGAGAAAGAATGTTCAGTAAAGTAAGATCTACAAACACATCACCATCACCAAAACACAATTTTGTCATGAATCCATCTGTGTCCTTTGTTTAATATGCACTTAGACCAAGGTGAGCGACACAGGCTCTTTAGAGCCTCTAGTTTTCTTTAAAATTTTCCATTTTTAATTGGTTATTTCTGATTTATATATAAAAGCAAATAATAATGATATGGTTTGAATAGGTAATTTAAATTTTTTTAAGTTCTTACACCACATTCATTCTGTGTCAGAAACCTATGCTGTGTCAAATATTTAATCACAATCCAAATTTAGTGCTGTATCAAGCTTGAATGTTGTGTCCATACTTGCCCCAACTGTTCAGGGTTCGACCTCTGCGGTCGTATCAAGCTGTGCCCAGCTGAGCATTTTATTTCATTTGTTTTCTGTTTTTTTTTTTTTTTTTATTATCTTCATTTACATCTTATGGATTTTTTTTAAAGTAAATTTTCCTGTTTTCAAGATGACAGAAGCTGATCTATTTTATGCACTATATGTTGATTATGTACATGTCATCCAACATGACATATTTACCGGAAGATCTCCCCTTCTGTAGACATGTTCCGTCTATTTTTAGGTACATGTAATTATGGCAGGAAGAGATATGGTTAATGGTGGAGGAGAAGTCGATACCTTTGAGAAAGATTTGAAAGAAATTTTAGAAGATGGGCCAAATTTAAATGACATGCATAACACAGTCCAGACAGGATCTCCACAGAAAATAATGACATCATCTTACCCGGGTGGATCAGGTTCTTTTGATAGCACTGGATCTTCTCAGCTACCTAGATCTCAAACTATGCCACCTGGTGTGTGTTTCTGCTTTCTGTTCACATATATTGTAATTCTACAGTATCAGTGAAAATAACAGTTTAAACTTAAGTTATGTTTGTCATCAGTCATTTTAAATTTTTTCAATTATAGAAAAAAATATTTAGATTTTGGAAACGTTTGGAGAGAGGAATATAAATAAAAATCTGTTCATTACTCAAAAGAGAAAAATACAGAATTAAAATTTGAACTGCTACAGCTAAGGTACATATTCTATGTGCTAAAGTTAGCTTGTTGACGTCATAAACAAAGTTTTGCTGTTTTGGAATTGTTGTGTATAAAGTTCTTTGATAACTTTTGAGTTTAAATATATTTTATAGATACTGTCATGACAGAGTGAGAAATTTAAGTATTAAAAAAAGTTCTTGTATTTCCTGAAAAAAAATCTTCTAAAATACGTTTGAAACATATTACTGAAATTAACTCACTTTGATTTTAAATTTAATGTAAATAATGGGAGTCGATACAGTTTCTCTTAATAGATTAGGAGTACCAGTTTCTTGAAGGTGGATTACTCTGGCTTCTTCCCACCAATAAATACTGTCTGTCATGAAATAGCTAAGAGTGCTGAAAGTGGTGTTGAACACCAATAATCAATCAATCGGTAAAGTTTCAGGGGAGATAACTGTTCACAGGAATATTGCTCAATGTTCCCCTATTTCTAGTTTTGTATAGCATGATGTAATTACTTAATAGGACTGAAAATCATCGAACATTTTGCAAAATTAATCCTGGAATAAATTGCGAAAGAACTTTCATTAATTTTTGTCAAAATTATTGCCTATTTCTGTAATGCTTTTGAAATTTGGATTGTCTAATTCATGTAAAGTTTCTGAACTGCGGAAGGTGATTTCATGCAAAATATGAGTTGATAATTGTGGAAACACATGTTCGGGACTTTTTATAAAATTCTCCAAAATAAGTAAGGCAACACATATTTTTTTGTATTTATTTCAAAATGCACAAATGACAGCGAACTTATTCATTAAATTAACCTGGTAACTGCTTGATAATGCAGGATCTGCATGACATGTTTTGTGATAGCGCACCCCCATCGTTAAATGATATTCCGCCATCGTCAAATGATCCCCGCCATTGTTGAATTATCTTCCACCATCGTCATATGATCCATGCCATTGTTAAATAACTGTGCTATGATTGAAAGGTGAAGTCAAAATTTGTTTTCGTTCCTCTAGCCCCCACCATTTTTGTGAGCAATTATAATCAATTACATGTCCTTATTGTATTTTAATCCAAAGGGTCCTCCTGATTAGTTTTAAAGCCCTAAGGGATATCCGGCTATGCACATTTATAAGGAATTGTGAATAAAGTAAATTTAGCTATTTCATCATGTTGATTGTGATAATACCAGTTTATTGAAAATTTTCAAGGTTGTTAAGAAAATTTCAACTCAATTACATAAGCTCTCCCAACCCAGAGCCTATATTTTCTTGTAAACAAGCACTGTAAACAAGTTTTATTTCATGATTTTCTTTAAAAATATCTGATGAGATCTCAAATCTATAGCAAACATGTATTTATGTCACAAATATGACAATTCATTTTTTTACAATGTGAAATTGTATTGACTCCTCTTCAGGGCTATTCCATTAAGTGAAAAGGGAAGAGTAGGAAGGGAAGTGGGGGAATTTATCTAACTCTCCTACATCCATTATAAGTGAGTAGCCCTATAATGAAATGTAGTTAAAGGGATTGTTAATGAGAACTGGGAATACAAAGTAATGAATTGGAAGATGTAAATCTTAGCTTTTTCTCCAATTTAGAAACATTTTATCTATTTGATGATATAACATAATACTTTTGTTTTATTCATTTGAATATATTCTATGACTTCAAGCAACTGTTTGATTGACACCTGCATGAAATACAAAAAATGCATGTGTTTTGGTTGTGGTATCCAAATTATTCATGGGTCAATTTTTTTTGCATGAGGTATGCGGTTGATTATTTTGGGCATTTTGAATTTCACACATTTTTTAAAAGACATGAAAAAGAATAAACCTATTAACCAATACCTGTGATGTTTAAAACATTGGAATTGTTTGGGCAATAAGTTCAACCTACAGCTATTTACACATCATATTGGAACTGGAGATTAAACATCAATATAGCTGCATAGACTTTTTTCAATGGTGCAATATAAGTTTGGAAGTGGATCATAATATCTAATGCTACTAATGATTAACATGTATATTAACCTAAGTGAAAGTTAATTTATGTCATAATTTGCAAGTTCAAATTAGAAGATAATTTGGTATTTTGTATTATTTCAGCGACAAGTCATGTTTCATTATCAAACAACCCATCCAGCAATGGAGACTTCTTACCTAAAACTGTACAGACAGCACAATCTAAAATAGAAACCATCAAATCATGGAGTGTGAACACCTTCAAATGTACTAAACAATACATTGCTGAAAGACTTGGTAAAGGATCTAAAACTGTTGATCTGGAACTAGAAGCACAAATAGAAGTATTACGAGATATGCAAAGAAAATATGCTAATATATTAAGACTGGCAAAGAACTTAACTAGTCATTTCTGTAATGTTGTACAAACCCAGAGAGCATTAGGTGAAGCCTTCTCAGAACAAGCTCAACGTTCTCCAGAACTTCAGGAGGAGTTTTCATACAACTGTGAGACACAAAGGGCCCTTGTCAAGAATGGGGAAGTATTATTAGGTAAGTAAGTCATTTTTTATCATATTAAAGGAAAATTGTATTTTAAGTTTAATTAATTGAGACGACCATCGATCGATCTCATATGAATATAAACTTCAACAGTTTTATAAGTTTTCTTTATAAAAATCCTATGTCAAAAGTATTTCTATTTTCAATATTAAAGTGATAAGTCGATACACTTCCGGCGTTTATTTTAGTCACATTTGTGTCTACGACCATATCATGCTGATTGCCCCGCCTATCTATTGATTGCAGATGTCAATCTTAATTACAATGCATTAGGAAAATAGCTCTAAAAGTTGATATTTTTCTAGACTTGTATAACCAGACTATATCCTCCTATTCATCAACACAATTAGATTTATTTATATGATTATAATACCTGTATCTGTTATTTTGCAATATTAGGGGACATAATGATTCTAATTATATCTCCTCCTTTGCATATATAGTTGTTTCAAATCAGTCATGATAATGTAAATATGCATATCTTTAATAGTTGGCCTGTTTTCTTTCAGGGGCAATGAATTTTTTCACATCAACTATCAACACTTTATGTAACAAGACAATGGAGGACACACTGTTAACAGTCAGGCAGTATGAAGCTGCAAGGTAGGATAGTTTAATTAGGAATTGGTATACGTTTTAACTGGATAAAAATATGTAAACGAATAAATAAGGGAGGTGGCAGTACAATAGGAAGAAGAAAAAAGCACTATAGGTCTTATTGAAATAGCAATTGTATTCAAGTTCCTGAAGTCGGTTTCACAAAAATACTTACGACTAAGATTAATCGCAAGTCGTAAGTTTTTTTGTGAAACCGACTCTTGGTCAGTAGAACTGTTGTTTGTAACCCTTCAGTACAAGAATAGGGAGATGTAGTATGATTTGCAATAAAGCAACTATCCATCAAATGGAGTGGATGTACTTTAGGTCATTGTATAGGTAAATTTATTCTAGAACTTTTTATTAATTCTTTTTATACGCCTGTTTACAGAATGAGGATGTATTATGGTATACTATTGTCGGTCCGTCCGTGGTCAACATGTCGGACATTAACCCAAAAACGCTTTAAATAATACGCATGAAACTTTGGTGAATTGTTTATATCTATTGACGTGAGCTCCCTTTCATTTTTTATAAATTTCAGATTTACCGTTTCTGAGTTTTGGGGTTTTATTCATTAAAAAAAGGGGGATTTTCCAGTTTTCGGACAATAACTAAAAAATGCTTTCAGCAGTTCTCATGAAACTGGTGAATTGTTTATATCTGTTGATGTAAGCTCCCTTTAGAATTTTATAAATTTTAGATTTTGCATTTCTGAGTTATGGGGTTTTATTCATTAAAAAAGGGGGGGATTTTCCAGTTTTTGGATAATAACTCAAAAATACTTTAAGCAGTTCGCATGAAACTTTTTTATTTGGCCTTAAGGTTCATCATAACAAATGGACAAATATGGCCGTATTTTCACCTCAAAAACTACTCTGTGTACAGACTTACCTGTGCATTTTGGAAAGTTTTAAGGCCTGGCATCCACTAGATATATAAAAGTTAAATTTGTTTTGCATATCAGAAAGATAAAATCTTTTTTGGATTATGATGGGCATTTTTTTCCGTTCCTGCAGGAGGTGTAAAAATATACTAAGTTGGGATATAACTTTGAGATGCTCCCTCTCAGGTAACAACTGATTTGTATTGTATTGATTGTCCTTGATTGGCATGGACAATAGATATCTACACATCTATAGGTGAGTTAAAGGTAGTAACTGAGTGGACAGTATCAAATGCAATTCAGATGTTTGTTTATTTTTACACCTTCTGCACGATGGAAAAAAAATGCCCATCATATTCAAAAAAAGATTTTATCTTTCTGATATGCAAAATAAATTTAACTTTTAAATATCTAGTGGATGCCATGCCTTAAAACTTTCCAAACTGCACAGGTAAGTCTGTACACAGAGTAGTTTTTGATGTGAAAATACGGCCATATTTGTCCATTTGTTATGATGAACCTTAAGTTTTGGTTTTAGGTAAACCATGAAGTTGTGGTCACATCAAACTTTGTTCACCTGTTTATTATGATGTGAACTTTTTATGCTCCAGCCCTAGCGAAGGGGACATTAAGTTTAACCCTTGTTCGTATGTCTGTACGTCTGTACGGCCTGAAATTGGTTTCTGTTCTCTAACTTTAATTTGCCTCAACCAAATGTTATGAAACTTATACACAATGCTTATTACCACATAACTCAGATCAAGTTCGAATTTTTGTGGCGTCACTTCTACCGTTCCAGAGTTATGCCCCTTTACAGATGGAAAAATTGCTGATTTTTTTGTTTTCATTCTCTAACTTAAGTTTGCCTCAACCAAATGTTGTGAAACTTAAACACAATTCTTATTTTCAAAAAACTCGGATCAAGTATGAATTTGGGTAGTGTCACTTTAATCGTTCTTGAGTTATGTTCCTTTATAACATTATATGCAAGCGGGGGCTAACTTCCCCATTTATATAAATATTGGCCAATATTGACTTTATGTAGATTTTACAGTTAAGTGATCCAGGAAATGTGATAGTGCGAGCAGGGCGTCTATTTAACAGACATGGGGTAATTGAAATATGCAATTGTAATTGACCGTAATTAATTACAATTTCTCAAGTAATTGAATGTAATGTGTAATTGAGCATTTTTCAATTACAAGTAATTGAATGTAATTAATTACATAGCCAAATTGTTTGTAATTGATAATTACTTTTCAATTATAACTCAATTACATTTAAATTTTGAATCAGAAAGATTGAATCTTGTGTTTTCTCAAAAAATGATGTAAAGCCATGACCTTAGTAAATGTTGTTAGCTGACAAAGCAAAGCCTACACAGTATACTCTCTGTAATTACACAACCATGGGAGATTCTTTACAGTAGTCAATCAATAAATATAACCTCTGGCTATTTGTTTTATTATAAAGTATACACTGACTGTTTTTACAACAGTTATGTTTGCATGTTAAACAGGTGTTAATCCAATTGAACAGGTGTTAATCCAATTGAGAGAGATAAATATATTCAAGTACATGCATTTTTTTAAAATCAATTAATTGGGATTAAAACTAAAGTATATTTTTAAAAAAAAGGCAGGCTTTCTAAATAATTTCTTTAAGAAAAATAATTTTAATAAGTTGTGATCAAATTAAAAAATCATTTCAAAATATTAAAATTAGGGCTCTCTTTTTGTATAATTTTCAATGAAATACATTAAAATATAAAATTTCAAGAGGTGATTACAAAAAAATTTAATATTTTCAAATTATGGAATAAGGCTTTTTAACATTTTGGGCATTAAACTACACCAGACCTCTAGTCCTAACGATTCCTGATAGACAAAGTATTATGTGCACTTCAGATTTATTTATGTTTTTTTCTTTATTCCTGTAACACACCAGATATCTAACTTATACTCCTCTTTGATACTGACTGAATTTGAAAATAGTCGCTGTAGATCTCATTTGGTATTACTATAAAGCAATGTACGATACTTATATTCATATTATAGAATAAATGAATGTTTTCAATATTTTATCTAAATTTTCCTTTCAAAAGTAATTGAAGTAATTAATTACAATTGCCAGGTAATTGGAAATTAATTAATTTCATTGGTAAACAGTGTTCCAGCTAAGTCATTTTCACAGGGCGGTCCGATTGCCCTTTCCTGAGTGCCGCCCTGTGCCCTTTTTCTGACGCCCTGCCCTTTTTCGTAAGTACATACCTTTATTGCCGTAATGTTTTGATGAAAATACAATTATTCTACCCGTCTTCATATTTATGACAAGTTTATGACCCTCAACTAATTAACATTTACAGCAGGTGTAATAAGTTGTGATTACAGATAATCCGCTTATCGACATCGGATGGGTCATTAATCCGTTAATTAAACTTCATAATTGACCACTGTAATAATTTTTCTCATTAAATTCGGTCAGTCAGCATTTCAATTTCAATATATCTCAAAAGATGACAATTTGCGTTGGATGTATCCGTAGATTGTCTGTTGTTTATATGTCAAAGATTTTTTTTTTTAAATTGATCTTTTAAACTAGTTTTAATCCAGAAGAAAGTAAAAACAATGCTTGACTGTACCTTTCATTGAATATCTATATCCAAATTAAATTAATTAAAGCTGTAATCCATGATCACAAATTGACTGCTTTGTTTACATTTGTTGAAAGCCATGTGCTTTTTTGGCGGGAAAATTCAGAAAACCCGTTTAACAAGAAACAGTTACATTTCATTGTTATTTATAGACAGTAAGATTTTCATTTTGATTAACTGCTAAGATTATTTCATTGAAAATGAATACTTTCTTGGGGTGAAACTGATAATACTTTAATACTCTACATCTAGGGGTGTGTAAAATGGAAAAGGGGGGGGGGATTTTTTATATATAATATTACAAATATAGTTCAACAGTCTGAAAAGACATGGTTAAATGGATTTTAATTCTGAAAAACTCAATGTGGTTTATTATAATTCATTTATTATTTCTATCATAATCAGAAACGCTGGGCTACATGTATTAGGCATTTCAAACATATATTATTGCCTTTATAAGAACATTCAAGACTATTAATAAGTATGTACCTGTAGTAAAAATACCCTGGTAGGGCCTTAAAATTTCTACTGGGCCCTTGGAAAAAAGTTTTGGGATCCAGGTTGGCCCCTGGAGAAAATGTAAGGTATTGTTCCTGACTGTATTGCAGATCTAGTGTAGTATTTTAACTGACATGCATAAGTCATTTCACTAATGAAATAAAAATAATTCTACAAAACGCCGCTGCGCTCTGCATTGCAACTTAACCTTAGACCTACCATGCATCAAAAATGTTCTAGGGAAGACTGAGCTAGTAATATACGTCCTTGCATGGCAATACTGTTACCCAAAATAAGGTTGATTTTCATCTAGCGTAAAAGTGACTTAACCCCCTCAAAACTCCTAGCTGAAACCCCTGCAATTAACATAAGACAATGTTTGACATGCCCTTTTTGAAATATCAATCATCGTGCTAAAGTGCCCTTTTCATGATTGGCTCCCTGCCCTTTTGAAATCCTAGCTGGAACACTGGTAAAAAAAAGTCAAATGGAATGTATAATTTAATTGAAGATTTTGTAATTGTAATTGAATGTAATTAATAACTTTCAAAAGTAATTGACCCCATAAATAGACTCTATTTATTGTTTCTTTATATTGTTTGTTTTATTTTAATACAGGTTAGAGTATGATGCTTATAGAAATGAGATGGAAGCATTACAGCTAGCACCTAGAGAATCAACATCAGCTACTAAAGTAGAAGGTTCCAAAAGAAAATTTGATGAACATAAAGTCAAGTTTGAGAAGCTTAGAGCAGATGTGTCTATTAAACTTAAGTTCCTTGATGAAAATAGGGTAATAGTCAAATTTTTACTCCTTTCCTAAAACCAGTGTTAAGACTATCTAATTTACACTTGTTGGAAGACTTTAAGATAATATTTAATATAAACAGACCGACAAGCACAAGCACATGCTATTTTATATGGTGTTTTTTCTAGGTCTGATTTCATGTCAAAGATTAAAAAATATAAATCGTTGTTATACATTTTTTTACCTTTATTTGCAAGATTTTTCGTGGGTCGATGGGCAACTAAATGCTTTTTCCTGGTGACTCCCTTTTTTCGCTTTTCAATGGTCACATTCCCTTCTTTGTGATAATTGAACAGCCTTAGCACATGCCTAGCCCATCTCCAGCTAAATATAAGGGTCAAATTAAAGGTTGCATGCTTTCAGATTCAAATGAGGATGAATTATTGACTTGCAAATAATACATAAGCAATATTTCGGGACAAAATTGACTGCTAGTTGTGATCTATATTTTAATATTCCGCTTTTATAGATGTTTGGAAAAAAAAAAAAAAAAAACATTATTTGTTTTCTAAATCCTAGCTAATGCCACTTAATTTATAAATCCTTATTAATTATCTTCTTTTACTGTATAATAACATCTTTTTTATTTTATATTTCAGGTGAAAGTCATGCACAAACAGTTGTTATTATTTCACAACGCTGTATCAGCTTATTTTACTGGCAACGATTCAGCATTAGAGGCAACGTTAAAACAGTTCAATATAAAACTTAAACCAGCAAATACAGAAAAACCATCGTGGATAGAACAATAATTTTATAATATAGCTTTTTTTGTTGAGATTTTCTTTTTCGTTTTTTCTTTTTTTGAAGTATTTATTTTATTGATTTAATGTTATATTTTATGTTATGTGATACTTACCAATCCATAATTATGTCTTGTTATTTTTGTCTGTTTTATATATATCATACTTCTGCTGACATTTATTTGTTAAGATTATGTAACTTACAACTATAAAGTTTAGCCATCACAAAAACATGTAATAATTGAAAACTTATGGAAATGGCAATTACCTCTATTAATGTACACATTTTGATAAGGTACTGTAAGGAGGAGTTTGTGATAGCGCCATTATTTGGCCCCTGCAATTTAAGAAATAGGATGATATAATCTGAACACTTTAATGTCACTTTGATATCATAAGCCTGTTGAAATTGGCATATTTGACCTAAAATGGCAATTTTACAAACTTTTTTTAGCAAATTTTAATATGATCTAAAGCATATATTAGAAAGATATTTGACCCAGATGGCCACATCATAATCTTTGTATAAGATATTTTGTAGCAAAATATCTCTTTGGTAAGACTGTTGCTCATATCTAAATATCAAAATCAGGTTATTTTGGCAATCTTTCAAATCTAACTGGTTAACTGTTAGACAATTTTCAAAAATACTTCTACTCTCATCTTGCAGATTAATGACGAGAACAGCTAAATGATGTTAAATAATGGATTATTTATACTTTTTGATTTCAAGGGTCCAAAAAGTTGCATTTTCATACCTTCTCTGATGATGAAGATAACCTCTTAAATATGTTATATATCTTCATATTTTATTAAAGATATTTTTCTTTCTAAAAATAAACCATAGTGGATAAAAACCTGTTATACATGAGCAAGTTTTATTTTATTTTGAATTGAATATTTATTTATATAATGAAACCATTGTCTAAAGTAGTTATTAGTGGTTTGCATAATTAACACATCAAAAGTAATCAAGTAGTTATTTATTTATTTATTAAATTATTGTAATTTAAGTATACTTGTTAAATGTTTATAAGGTAATGTGTGACTGTCACAATAAATCCAGTCCATGTCTTCAAACATACCATTGGTTATGCAAACAGGTACTAAGTGGATTTTGAAAATATAACCAATTGTTTCTAACTGTTACCATGTATACTGCTTTTCATTACTTATTATAGAAGTAGACTAGGAAAACCTTATTGCAAATATTGGGATTGAACAGTAAGATATAATTTTAATAGTATCTCCTGAGCATGTGACACGGATTCTAAGATTTTTTTTTTGGAAAGATTGATATCAACAAATTGAAATAGAGCTCTTAAATGAAGTTAGTTATATTGGTTGAGGACATAGGAGTCATTAATATACACTTAAAAATTGTTAATGACATTTTTAATGTCATTTATTTTGTATATAGATATATATAATGCATGATGGAGAATTTAACTATCCACAAAAGCTGTTTAATGAGGTAATGAATGAACATTTATGTATTCTCAGGTTCTGTAAAAACCAACATTTTCTGTAAAATCCACATTTTTGATATGCATATGGTAACTTTATTACTTTATTAATATATTTCATAGCATGATTTATATAATTAGAAAATAAAATCAAGACCAAACATTATTAGAAGAACATATTTTAAATTCAAAGGTTTTGATTTGGTTCAATTTGAGAATAAGAGGTGTATATTTGTAGAACTACACTAATGTAAGAATTTATAATGCATGATCAATTAAGTACCAAAATTAGAAAAATCTATAATAAAGGAACATTCCAACCTGTGTGAAATATGAAATGGTAAAAATAGTTTTTTCATGTTCTCAGAAATATTTATATTTAGAGGTACTGTATTTTTATAAATATGATATATTAAAAAAATATAAATATATCGGAAATTTTGGGATATTTCTAATACTAAGTGATACTAGATTATTTCCCTCTATTTTTTTTCCCTTTATGATGAATTATTGAAATATTTAATGATTTTGACGTCTTTAACGGCATGGAATATTTGACTACCCAAAAACATTGAGAATGCCATTTTGAAACCTATAAATCATACATTTAATGAAATTTTTTTAAACTAAAATGCTGTTATATTTCAAATAAAGTTGAAGTTATCATTTTGTGATACTATAAACAGATGCAAATTGTTACTTGTAACATTTTTTTCTACAATAATATTGCAAGGACACAATAAAAGTGGAAATCTTGGCATTGAAAACAAAAATTGTTTTAAAGAATTTTCCTGATACACAATTAGCTGTTTACAATGCAGCCATACCCTAATCAGTAAAGTGCAATACTGCAGTAAAACTTTCTTAATTACCATGCCTGCTTAGCTGTAATTTTAAAAGCATGATTGATATTTGCAAAGTATATAGATGCTTTAGAATTATATTAAACTACTGACATCTGTATAAAAGTCTTGTGTACATATATTTATCCCGTCAGTAGTTAAAATGCTTTTGTATTATAAATCTAATTATAGGGACCAAACCAAATTGTATGAGTTGTGATATGTACAAGAAATGGCTGATCACTCAAAATACATTGTATAATTTTCAGTACAGAAATTAATAATATATAATATTTCTCAACAATGGAATAATATAGGATAAGTTGAAATTAAAAAAGCTTGTACATTTGACTCTTTGATGTATAAATAATAGATCCAGCAGTGTGAAATCCAAATGTATTTAAAAAATATGCTAGTCATTGGTGGAGGGACTTTTGTTTGAGCTTAAACTAAATAAGTATATGTTGTAACATTAAAAATTTAAAGATGCCATAATTTGATTAATCATTTCAGTTCTTTACATAACATGAATAAATCAAATAACTTTCATTACCAGTACCTTGTTTGTACATGTATATGCCCCCTACTTCAAGAGTTCATTACCAGTACCTTGTTTGTACATGTATATGCTCCCTAATTCAATAGTTCATTACCAGAACCTTGTTTGTACATGTATATGCCCCTTAATTCAATAGTTCATTACCAGAACCTTGTTTGTACATGTATATGCCCCCTAATTCAATAGTTCATTACCAGTACCTTGTTTGTACATGTATATGCCCCCTACTTCAATAGTTCATTACCAGTACCTTGTTTGTACATGTATATGCCCCCTAATTCAATAGTTCATTACCAGTACCTTGTTTGTACATGTATATGCCCCCTAATTCAATAGTTCATTACCAGTACCTTGTTTGTACATGTATATGCTCCCTAATTCAATAGTTCATTACCAGTACCTTGTTTGTACATGTATATGCCCCCTAATTCAATAGTTCATTACCAGTACCTTGTTTGTACATGTATATGCCCCTTAATTCAATACTTGTTACCCTAGTAATTAAGTTTCTCACTTAAAAATAACACAAACTTTATGGTTCATCTGGCTTTTTGGGCCTTTGTTTGACATATGTTTCCTATGGCCTTGAAACTTTTGTAAAAAGAAATATTGACCTTCTGAATCTTAATTTGGTCTGGATTATTCCTAGAATGTTTAGTATCAAAATAATGTCCAGTTATGCTAGGGTAAAGCCATTTTGTGATTCTACAGGATAAAATACCGATCAATTCTAAAAACAGAATGGAAATAGCTCCATTTTGATCTCTGCAGTTATTTAGCCCATAATTAAAGGGTTGGGAATTAGTTCTTTGATTGTCCCTTTCAGAATTTTGACCCCCCCTTTTACCATGCAAAGTGAACAAATATGGCTTCCTCTAAGCGATTAAAACAAAATAGTACTGTATTTTTTTTCTTTTGCTAATACATGGGAATATGACTGGACTGAGTTTTGATGCATTTAGTGATAGACAACAGTTAATTACATTCATTTATGGTATGGAACATGTAAATAATTAGTTTGCTTACAATGTATTTTGATAGTTCAATACAACAAGTCTTTCAAATCATTATTTGATATGTTGCATTGTTTTCATAGATCATGTTAGAGAACTTCAGCATATTTTGTTGTCATAATTGTGAAAAGAATTCCATCCATATTTAAACTAAGTAGTTTTAATGGTGATTATTTATTTTTCAACTCTGGAACAGGTTGTGAATAAATTATAAAATATAATTGTGATACTTTCTTTCTTCAAGAAAAATGAAAACATTATGTTCATTATCAGTAGTAAGTAGAAAAATGCAAACGTGACGCTTCATAATTCTTAGATTCTTGGTAGGGTTAATGCAAGATAGAAGTGATGTATTTAAAGGATAGAATTGATAAAAAGTTTTATATGCATTCCTGTAGTTTTAAACATTTATTGATTTAATAATAAAACTTTTTTTGTTGTTGACAAAATTACTAAGTAGACAAGAAGTGAAGACAAAAGCATATGGAAATGTTCAAATATCCTAATACTGAGAAATAAAAAAGGGTTTTATTTAGATCTTGTTTTGATGAACTATGACACTACATTTCACTGACATTTTGATAAATTTATGTGTTTCAGGCAGTGCTATAAATATAATTAGCTTTTGTTGATCTCTGTCTAAATCAATAAAACCTTTTGCACTGTGGTTTTGTAAAGCAAACATCAATCAATAAATCAATCCCTGTGTAGATAGTTATTTGACTGCCAAAAAATATGTAGTTGTAAGATACTTGAACATGCATTTATACAGATTATGTATAGATTTTTATTCTTACAATTTCAAATTTCATTTTGTTGAAATCTGGAAGTTGACTGAAATGTATCAGCAATATTTCTCAGTTGTAACTTACAAGGATCATTGTGAAATTAGTTGTACATAATAAATATTAAGGTAAAGATAATATAGCCATGTCCAGAAAGTACAGAATCATGGACACCCTGCAGCATGTCAAGAAACATCTCATTTCTTCATGATTGTACTCAAGTTTTATTTCATGTATGTTTGAACACTTTATCATGTGTAAATAAATGTTAGCAATTCATGTGTATCACAATGTGAAACATGCTATTAATGGTATCTAAAATAAAAAAATGAGGATAACTTTGTATTTATCAGTTTTTATTTCACCAGCATTTTTTCCGTTTCTGTCTAGATTCGATACTCGATATTCATAACAGGAACTTGATTTATTATTTTTACAGGGTTTACATAGTACTTTCTATACATAATATAGTGTAGTGTGACGTCCGTTTTAGCTGAACTATTATACATTATTGTTTAGGGGCCAGCTGAAGCCTGCCACCTGGTGCGTGATCTCGCTGTGTTGAAGACCCATTGGTGGCCTTGGGCTGTTTTCTGTTATTGTCTTTGATACATTCCCCCTTTCTATTTTCAATTTAATAATACAATTTTATTGTTCTGAAGAAAGACATCCTGCTAATCTCTGGACAATTAACGCAAAAACTGTCACATACTGGTAAATTGGGTACATCTTTGCCATTGGTAATTAAATATTCACTTCAACAAAGTTGATGACCATTGGAGTAACCTTTAAGTACACTTCTATACACAAATCTTAGACAAGAGTGCACATGTTGAAATGTCTCACCTGCTTTCCTGATCATGATTGAATCTATATATTTATAGTCCTTACAGTGATTTGATTGTAAGTGTTGCTCTCCACATAATATAGATCATCCAAAATTCTGACTCATTTCATCAAACCAAACTGTTCGATAAGTCTGAATTTTTAAACACTTACTGAAGAAGAACTATATTTAAGTCATCAAAAATCAAAGTGATAGTCCTATAAAATTTAATTGCAGTCCTGGCTACTATGATAATGCAGCCAATAGTTCTGAAAGAATATATTAATTGTAATTGGTCATTTAATAGAAAGGAAAGGTAGTAAATTTTGAATTGCAAAACAGTCCATTTTAAGTTTTTGAATGTCTCTTAAATGTGGTTTTTATACGATCGCAAACAAATTTTTTGCGTCGTATAATGCTATGATGTCTTTGTCGTCGGAAGACACAATTGTTTTCCGGACAATAACTTTAGTTTAAGAGAATGGATCTCTATGAATTTTTACCAGAAGGTTCAATACCACAAAAGGAAGGTTGGGATTGATTTTGGGGGTGATGGTACCATATCGCAAAGGGAAGGCTGGGGTTGAGTTTGGTGTTTATTGCCCCAAACGTTCAGGAATTAGGGGTAAAAAAAGGGGCCAAAAACAAGCATTTTTATATGCCCATTTACGGGACGTATTATGGTATACTGTTGTCCGTCTGTCCGTCCGTCCGTCGTCAACATGCAGGACATTAACTCAAAAAAGCTTTAACCAATATACATGAAACTTTGGTGAATTGTTTATATCTATTGACGTGAGCTCCCTTTCGTTTTTTATAAATTTCAGATTTACCGTTTTGAGTTTTGGGGTTTTATTCATCAAAAAAGGGGGGATTTTCCAGTTTTCCGACAATAACTCGAGAATGCTTTCACCAACTTGCAAGAAATTTTGGTGAATTGTTATATCTATTGACATGAGCTCTCTTTTGGATTTTTATAAATTTTTAACTTAACGTTTCCGAGTTGCAGGGTTTTATTCATAAGAAAAGGGGGCTTTTCCAGTTTTTGGACAATAATTAAAAAATGCTTTCAGCAGTTTTCATGAAACTTTGGTGAATTGTTTATATCTGTTGATGTAAGCTCCCTTTAGAGTTTTATAAATTTTAGATTTTACATGTCTGAGTTTAAATATGGGGTTTTATTCATTAATAAAATGCTCCGCAGGGCGCAGCTTGATACGACCGCAGAGGTCGAACCCTGAACAGTTGGGGCAAGTATGGACACAACATTCAAGCTTGATAGAGCTCTGAATTTGGATTGTGATTAAATATTTGACACAGCATAGGTTTCTGACACAGAATGAATGTGGTCTAAGAACTTAAAAATTTTAAATTGGACATTCACCTATTATGGTCCAATATCCAAAATCTAAATACATGGTTAGATTCAGCATATCAAAGAACCCCAAGAATTAAATTTTTGATGAAATCAAACAAAGTTTAATTTTGGACCCTTTTGACCTCAATGTGGACAAAGTTGATAATGGGGCCCAAAAATCTAAATACATGGTTAGATTCAGCATATCAAAGAACCCCATATATTCAATTTTTGTTGAAATCAAAGTTTAATTTTGGACCCCGATTTGGACCAACTTGAAAACTGGGCCCATAATCAAAAATCTAAATACATGTTTATATTCAGCATATCAAAGAACCCTAAGAATTCAATTTTTGTTAAAATCAAACTAAGTTTAATTTTGGACCCTTTGGACCTTAATGTAGACCAATTTGAAAACGGAACCAAAAATTAAGAATCTAAATACACGGTTAGATTCGGCATATCAAAGAACCCCAATAATTCAATTTTTGATGAAATCAAACAAAGTTTAATTTTGGACCCTTTGGACCTCAATGTGGACCAATTTAAAAACGGGGCCCAAAATCCAAAAACTAAATACACGGTAAGAATCAGCATATTAAAGAACCCCAAGAATTCAAGAATAAAACACCATTGAAATTGGTCAAGAAATAAGCAATTTATACGAAGTATCTTCTTTTGCACAATCCTGTGCAATTGAATATTTCTTGCTATTGCGCAATACTGTACAATTGACAATTTCTTGCTATTGCGCAATATTGTGCTATTGGATATTTCTTGCTATTGCACAATACTGTGCAATTGAAGATTTCTTGCTATTGCGCAATACTGTGCAATTGAAGATTTCTTGCTATTGTGCAATACTGTGCAATTGAAAATTACTTGCTATTGCACAATACTTATTATATAATAATTTACACATCCTGTTTGGTGTGTATCTCCTATCATATCATTATTATTTGCTTTTAAATATAAAACAGAAATAACCAAATTAAAATGGAAAATTTTAAAAGAAAAAAAAAGGGAAAAAAAAAAAATCCCCCCCCCCCCCAAATTTTTTGAACCCCCTTATGATTCATCACCCCAAAACTCAATCCCAGCCTTCCCTTTGTGGTGTGGTACCTTGCAGTACAATTTCAGAGAGATCCATACACTTGAACACAAGTTATTGTCTGGAAACTAGAAAAATGCTTATTTTTGGCCCCTTTTTGGCCCCTTATTCCTAAACGTTTCGGGCAATTACCCCAAACTCAATTCCAGCTTTCCCTTTGTGATATGGAACCTTGTAGTACAATTTCAGAAAGATCCATACACTTACACACAAGTTATTGTCATGAAACTAGAAAAATGCTTGTTTTTGCCCCTTTTTTGGCCCCTAATTCCTAATATTTTGAGGCAATTACCCCCAAAATCAATCCCAGCATTCCCTGTGTGATATGGAACCTTGTGGTACAATGTCAGAGAGATCCATACACTAACACACAAGTTATGTCTGGAAGTTACAAAAATGCTTATTTTTGGCCCCTTTTTGGCCCCTAATTCCTTAACTGTTGGTACCCTAACCCCC